ACTTATTGTTCTTATCATACCTTACATTAATTTATCGAAAAGAGTTTCATGCACGCTCCTTCATCAACTAATATAAAAACTAGCTAGTTTCATGCTTGTGTGTTGACCTGTCCAGGCACGCGATGGGTTAGATTTGTGATCCAAACGGAACCCATCTTCTGGTGCCTGCTGGCGGCCCAGATACACCGCAGTCGACAGTCGTTCAAGTATTGTTGCTCAAGAAGCAAGACAGATCAATGCATGTATCTAGCTACATAAACCGGCCGGCAAATCAACGGAGCTGCATGCTAGTTAATTAATCCAAGCCATTCCATCATGCGTACTGAGGTAAGTGATTCAACCAGTTAGTAGCATTCCCCTACTTTCTTTTTCGCCGGAATTTTTATAGCAGTATCATCACCGGCCTGGTCATGACTTAAGTGTGCCAGTTTGGTAGATCAGGCATGTACGGAAGTAGATTGCGTTTCTTACCCATGTTTTGAAGTCTATATATATTGTAATTTGCCCTATTTATTTTAACTTTGTGATTTTATCGCTGCCTTTTCTAAAACAAAGGCAGAGTTTACTCTTATTCTTTTCAAAGGAGTTAACGGTATCGGTTCAACTAAACAAGACAGTTTTTTTCACGCGAAATTACCCATAGGTTTTGAGTATTCTATGATTATTTTAACCTCTATTTTGACATCAACTATTTGAATAGCATTTTGAAAAAATACAACAAGATTTTAGAATATTTCTAATCTAAGCAAAGATTCACAAGCTACACATGGTAAATTAACCATCTTTTAAAACAATTTTTATATTTATTTTCATCTTTACATGGTCGAACAATCACTACTACATATAGGGTTTTACAAGACAGTACTCCTAATTAGTAAAGCTGGGTATTTTTAGGAGTCGTCTCTATAAATAGTCCGCGGGTCTCGGGTAAACACCTGACTTTGTTTTTCTTTAAGAATTACACAGTATAACGTAGACGTCTACAACATGCACGCACACTCACCCCTATGAACACACGTACGCAAACCGATTGAGCCGTCAGATTTTGAGATTCATGAAGTCACCACTGGCGCCTCGCTGTCGATGAGGACGTCACCTACCACTGAAAGCATAACGCCGTTAAATCCTAGAATAAATCTAGAAAAATCCTGAAATAAATCCAAGAAAATGCGAGCACCCGTGCCAAGCCGAGGAACTTAACCCGGATGGGCAGGTTCCACCACAAGGAATGTGACCAGCTGATCTATGATCAGTTCGCAACACCCGACTTTGTTAATTATTTACACATGTGGACATGCTAAGAAGACCACCTCTGTTAATCCGCTAATCGATTGAGGTGGATTTTTTTAATATGACTATCTCTGAAAATTGCTATTAACAGAGACAGAGCATTCTAAGAGCCTGCCTCTAGAAGTCAATTAACGGGTGCGGCAGCCTTAAGATGCTCATATCTAAGAATAGTTGTATTAAAAATATTTCATAACTATTCCATATGAATTAGGATTATGACAAATTTCGTATCAAAACTATAGATCTCATATTTTTTCATGTAACACTGTTTTTGAGTCCTAAAATTTTGTTTTAGGTTCTTATATTTTGACATTCAAAATTTAGAAATGATAAACAACTTCGAATGTTGACATTGTCTATACCGCAGGAGTACTTTTCAATACAATCTAGAACTTTTAAGTTGACAAATTTTTTGTTTGAAGTTGTTTAGAGTCCCAGATATATGTTTTAATTCCATGGAATTTGAAATTTAATATTTAGAATTCCCAAAGGACCTTGAATACTCACATGGTTAATAATAAAGTTGTGGTGGTGGATCCAATCTCCATGTTTGTAGTTGATAAAATTTTATTTGAAGTTATTTAGAGTCACAGATATTCATTTTAAATTCTCATATTTTTAGATTCAATTTTTAAAATTGTTAAACAATATCAGATGGAGACCCGCCATATACCAAAGTTGCAGTGCTCGACAAGCTTTAAAACTTTGTAGTTGAAATATTTTTCCTTTGAGATCCTTCAGTGGCAAAAATATTTAATATAAGATTATGAAATATTGATAGAAAAAGATAGCATCCTATATATACTCTGTGTGTAGTGTAGTGGCAGAGAACTGTTCTATGAGTTGAATGTCATGGTTAAAATCTTGAAAGAAACTTATTTTTGGTCCACCTCTGGTAATGGTATCAATAGAAGTGGATATCTGAGGAAGGTATTGACAAAGGTGGGCATCTTAGGCGATCACCTCGATCAGTTGGTCTGCCCAAAAAATATTTTTGGCAGTAGTGAATGGCTTCGGATTCAAAAACCAAAGATAAAGTTTAAAATGAGGATAAAACTACAATTGTCCTTCAAAAGAGGGGCAAGAATGTCAATCTTCCTAAATCATTATAGTACCTGACCAAACAATTACATTCTTTTTAGTTAGCACAACCAATAATTTGGGCTGAGCATTCAGTCCAATCAAACCGATCAGTTTGTTTTCTCGATTTATGCAAAATTTGATTACCTGCAAACTAAGATATGATTGATTACTACAATTCCTCAAAGTCGAGCCCTTCAGTCTTCCATTTTTTCCAGTTTGGTTTTGCTCATCAACAGAATGTACTGCTGTCAAATAAACATGAATAATCACAAAAATGAAGAACCCACAAGGCCACAATAGCTTGGAATTCCATGCCTATCCATAGCACAGCTTCCAGCTCCTTTTCGCCATATGTAGGGTGTAGTAGAGCCTACACTCCGCCTACTAATGAAGTAAGAGATGAGGCAGTGGGCTGGAGGTGGCACAACTATGGAGGAAGGAGGCTCGCCACGAGTGGGGCTGCAATTTGTGGCTTCTAGAGAAGGAGCTACAATTTGTGGTTTCTCCTCAAGTGCTCTGGCTCCTCTGGAGTAGCACTTAAGGAGGAGTCTTCCAAACAAGCCATAAGAAAAAGAGGTTGTATATATGTGAGGTATGAGGCACGCTTGAACTATTATTGGAAATGTTGTCAGGGAGCTATTGTTGGGCCTTTCTGCATATAATTTGGTCTACTCGATTATTTTGGTTAACGGACACCTAGAACCGAATTAATCGAGATTCCTTGGTCTCAGTTAATTATACCACTCCTACCAATATTTACTCTAATGATATTTGTCATATTATTACTAATTGGAGTCCCTTAAAGAAACCTTTATGTTAATCCTCATGAGATATGTCAGAAAAACACAAATGCTAGAAAATCCCATGAAAATCAGAAAACATCATGTCATCAATTTGGCAAACTATAATCATCATAGATAATAATAGCAATATAATCTATTTTATGTTTTAAAACATACCCTCCTCTGCCATCACAACAGAACTTTTAGTAACCTCTACATTTACATCTACATTACATACATGTCATATGAAAGATAATCTAAAGTCAACACTTTAACCACCTCTCCCACTATAAAAAAACTCAATGTAATTTGCATCCATATTATCCACCTCTACTATTATGACAGATAATACATATAAAAGTCACCCTAATTTTTCATTAACATTTCCTACTATAATAAAATAGGTAACCTAAATATCCCCTTTAATTTACATCTAAAATACACATGTCTGGTATAAAAAAGATCCACTGAAGTTTTCGTCAAATCTACTACTAAATCACCAACATAGGCTTTTATAGAAAGGGGAAGGCCAACATATTTTTCCTGAAGTACCTAGTTCTATCACTACTAATATATAAATAAGTAATTCAAAGTAAACATACAAGGTATGTGTCACTATATAGACAAGTACGTATGCATGCATTAGCTATAACTATATATTTTCTATGGTTTAGCAATCATAAGAAAATGTTCCTCTTAATAGATCGCGTACCAATGAAATTTAAAATTATATTAAATCTTACTAATATACCATGATAATAATTTCTATAAAAGCAGGGTTTTCCTCCATAAAAAAATATACCGTGATAAGAAATATGTAGTTTGTTACTTTATATAATTTTATATGTTTTAATGAAATGGTATGATATATCATATTTATAGTTTCACTGTATGTGCTCTGTCCTTTATAAAAAGAATACCACTACATTTAATTATAACTCTTTGATAGAGGAAAGATGTAGGATCTATTTTTTAATAAAATGCAAAATGAGAATTTTTAAAAAGGTACAATGTGAATGGAAAAGTTGCAATAACTAACAAAATCAAAAGTTCAAGCCCAGATATAGATTAGTGATGTCACAGAAACTGCTAAAACAAGATCTTATATAACTTAACCTAATGTATGAACTAAATATGTATTAAAGATATACAGGTGCAATGCAATGGATCAGAGAAAAGCAATACATATGTGATAGAAAAATATAATGAATAATCAGTAAACTTATAATTTTATTTTATGCAAAGTGCTGTGGGAGCTTGACCTTTTAATTATGATAGGAAAATGAATAACTAGTACATTTATCTGATTATAAAATATGTAAAATGGGCATTGTGTTAGGAAATACATAGTGAGACGAGAGGGAGTAATGATAATCAACTTTTACCTGCAAAAAATGATAAATTTTTTTGATCAGTTTATCCATAAACATTTATTTTAATTATACAGTATCTCATAACATTTCTAGGCCGTGTCGTTGGAACATTGGGTTAATGGTCTTGTAAGATTACATAGACAAACGTTTTTCTATACGAATCTATTATAGATTTCAACTTTATGAAATACACGTTATGTATTAACATTTTTTTTATGCGAATCTATTATTTGAAACGGAAGGATGGAGTAGCTGCTAGGGAAAATTGTGATCTCAAGTGATGATGGCCTGGCTCCTCCTCCATATAGACTAACAATGCATATATACTACATGATGCATGTAGGTTATCAAGGCCGATAGCATCGACGCGGCTGCCGAACGAATTCTCGATGAACTGAAGGAGGGCAGTAACAGCACCAGAGGCATCACCGGAGGCAGGGAGCATGTCATCTACTTCGACGGCTGGGACGGAATGGGGGCGTCTGCTGTCCTCCGAGCCGTTGCACAGCGCCTCACCCCCGGATCTTTGGAGGCCCACGGTGAAATGCAGTTTGATCTGGTCATCCACATCGACTGTTCCAAATGGGAGAGCAGGAGAGCGCTGCAGAGGGCTATCGCAGAACAGCTGGACCTCCCTGCCCGGGTGATGGAGTTGTTGGACTGGCAAGATGAGGAGTGTTAGAGTAACTAGGAATAGTACCACATTGTCTAACCACGTGAGGTGTTAGTCCTATGTACTCTATATAATCAGCCCATGAGGCCCAATGCAATATAACACAATCTCCACCAATTATATTCTCCTTCAAGGAGGACGATCTCCATGGGGTGAAACAGGACTCCCGCGTGGAGATACCACGGGTCCTTGAGGCGATGTATGATCATATACATAAGGTGAATCATAGGTTCTTGATTATTTTCCAAAATGGGAGCAGCGAAGAGATCAATCTTTCTATCTTTGGATTCCCCCTCTCTGGCTACTCAAGAAACAAGGTGCTCTGGACATTTCAAGGAAGATTCCGGCTCTTCCCTAGGTTGAAGGTGGACGGTGCCATGACCATCACAAAGGCGACTGATGTTTTTCTCTCAGCCTCACAGCATGAGAAAGATAAACAGGAGCTCCGGTCCTACCTTGTGCACCAAGAGGCCGTAGAATCTGCACCTAGGAATCAGCCTTCACAAGTTGCTGAGTATTTCTTGTACATGTGGAATCTATGCTGCATGAGCTATCACTTCAGGGTGGACTATGATTTCAACACCCACTGCTGCAACTTCTGGATATGTGATGGCATCCTACAACACCAGGTACGACAGCAAAGATTCATGCAGAGGGATACAACGTTGAAAAATCCATGCAGAGGGATACAACGTTGCAACTTCTAGTCATGATGATGATGAATTGTGGAATGCTGCTGGTGCTCTGCAGCGTGAGATGCGATTGGACGTGGACTACTACAACCATAGTCACCACCAATCTTTGCCTTCACACCTGACAACTATGGCTAGCATGCCACACAGCGCTTCACCATCCCACGGCGTTCTTGGGCTTTCGCTGATCCCGGCTAGGGACATGCTCCGCCACTTCAACAAACTTGGTGTGCTGAAGCTCTCACACTGCTCCTTCAGCTTCTCATCACCTCCATTCCTCTGCTGCAGTAGCCTTAGGTTCCTATGGCTTCATCACTGTCAGGACCAAGTAATCAGCACATTTGAGGAAGGGGACGAGGAGAACATACGTCGGTGCTTCAAGAGGCTGTGGGTGCTTGATGTGCGCTACACACCTTGTGATCGGATCTTGTCCGCACAGATGCTGGATTTCATGACTCAGCTTCACTACTGGATTCAGGTTCTTTGCCGAGTGCCTGAGGTACTCGGCAAAGGTCAAATTGCACTCAGCAAAGCCTTTGCCGAGTGCGGCACTCGGTAAAGAACACACGATAAAAAATTAATCAGCAAAGTCCTCTTTGTCGAGTGTCTTTTATCGGGCACTCGGCAAAGGCTTTGCCGAGAGCCCTGGGGGTACTGGGCAAAGAAAAGCGACCGTCATGGCACCGGCCCCGTTGATAGTCTCTTTGCCGAGTGCCAACCTTGCAGGCACTCGGCAAAGATTTTTTATTTTTTTTAAAAAAATTCTTTGCCGAGCGTCCCCTGGCCGGTGCTCGGCAAAGTTTGAATTTTTTTTTTAAAAAAAATCTTTGCCGAGTGCCCTCTGTCTGGCACTCGGCAAGGTTTGAATTTTTTTTAAAAAAAAATCTTTGCCGAGTGCTATGGTCTTGGCACTCGGCAAACCTGGAAAAACGGTTTCTCAAGCGCCCATTTTTCCAGCTTTGCCGAGTGTTGTGACCATGGCACTCGGCAACGGGGTCCTTTGCTGAGTGCAACACTCGGCAAAGTGACCCAAAACGGCAATTTTTGATTTTTTTTTTACATTCCATCATGACAAATAAATTCATATAAACATATATCACATATATATCTCATTCCTCACATATATATCTCATCCATCCACACATCCATCCACACATATCACATCCATCACAATATATATCACATATATAATAATAAGTGCTCAAGTCCATCCAAATAAATCCACAAGTCCATCAAAGTCCACAAGTGCATCACAAGTATATCACAAGTTCATCACCAAGTGAACAACAAATGAAAAAAATACAACGTGCACTCATCTCGGCCACTGCGACTGTGGTGAAGGCCCAGCTCCATCATTCGGAGATGCATGAGGTGGTCAGATGGAGACTGCACAAAGGAGTAAAGATTGCATGTAAGACAAGATTATTTGGATAGCTAATCTAGGAAGGTAGATGCCATACAAGCAAAGCACAAGCGAAAGTAAAAAATTTCATACTCACAGGAGTAGTTGCAGCTGCAGGATGCGGATGCGGAGGTGGAACCAATAGCCCAGCTGGCAGATAGAAGCCCACACGTTGCTCAAGCCCTTGTAGGAACTCCGTAATGTCCGTTAGCCTCTGCGCCTGGGCCTGCCGCTCGGTCCGCTCGGCATCCAGCTAGGCCGCTAGCTCCTGACGTTGCCTCATTTCTTGTTCCAGCCGGGCCTGCAATATTTCACTCCCTAGGTGTCCAGGAATTATCAACAAGAATACGTTATGTCGTTGAAAAGAGACACCGGGGGGAGATTAAGGGGGATAACAAAGACGGGCCAACACGTGTATGGGGCAGCCATCATTTCATAAGGATTGAACCCATCTGTTGCCAGCGCGACACGTACATTACGAGCCTCATCTGCTTTGTCACAATGTTTGTCATTAAAGCGGATCCAAGCTTCACTATCGGATGGATGTACCATCTTATCAGGATTGTACCGTTTGCCATTTTTGTGCCATGTCATCTGTTTCGCGGATTCCTCGGTCATGTATAGCCGTTGGATCCTCGGTAGGAACGGAAGGTACCGTAGGATTTTCATGGGGATCGTAAGTTGCCTCTTCTGGCCATCATCAGAGTCTACCTCCAGGTACCTGGAGGATTTACACTTTGGACAGAACTTTGCATGCTCGTGTTCTTTCCTAAATAGGATGCACCCCTTCGGACAAGCATGTATCTGCTCATACGGCATCTTAAGTGCACGAAGGAGTTTCTGTGACTCGTACATGCTCTTTGGCAGAATGTGGCCCTCCGGAAGCAGGGTGCCAATCACGGCCAACATCTTATCGAAGCTAGGTCGACTCAAGTTTAACTCGAATTTCAACCCCATTAAGCGTCCAATGGCATCCAATTGAGACACCGTTGACCGATCATGAAGGGGTTTCTGTGTCGAGTCCATCATGTCGTAGAACGCCTGTGCCGCTGCCTCCATCTCCTCCTTCTCACGTCCCTCATCGAACTGTCCTTGGTGAAAGTCATCTAACATGTCTGCTACCCCGGCATCAGCATCAAAAGCCTCCACCCATGGTCTCACCACCTCCTCTCTCATACGATGGGCTTCACCATGGTGGACCCACCGGGTGTAGTCCAGCGTAAATGCATTCTTCACAAGATGTTTACCCATTTTCACCTTGTTTACCCTTCTCCTGTTTCCAGATTTGCTGCAGGGACACAAAACTAGGCAATGTCCTTTAGCAGCCTTGCCAAATGCACTGTTTAAGAAAGCATCGGTCTTGTTCATCCATTTCGTGGTGTAATCACTCTGACTTCTCCAGCCTGTGTACATCCACCGACGGTCATCCATCCTCTAACATATGTATCAGCGAGTAATGTAACCATCAATTGCATCTACATGGTGTTCCTACTGTCTAATAGGTGAGGATAGGTCCTAATCCCACCCGCGGATGCGTAGATGAGGTTAGTTTCTATGCTCTACTCCTATCCGAGATAGAATTTTGGCAGCACCTCCCCGCTGTTCTCCAGATACACATCCTGCCAAAGAAGAGTGCGTATCCGGAGAACAACAGGGAGGTGATGCCGAAACTCTGTCTCGGACCGGAGCAGACCATGGAAACTAACCCATCTATGCATCCGCGGGCTGTCCAAAAAACGTGGACAATCCGAAATAGATACGGTCATAGATATACAAAGATCTGCATACCTCCAACCGTATCTCTTTCGAACGGGAGACGCCTAACTGGGTTACGCGATCTACGATCATGATACGGAAAGAGGGGTTATACCTAGGGTGGCGATGGAGTCAGGCTAGTGGGGCCATGGCAGGTCGGTGCAGTGGCGAGGCGACACGGTGCAGGCAGACCGGCACGGCGACGGGAACTCCGACTCGGCTCCGACGGGCTCTTCTCTACAAAAATGGAACAAAATACTGTCATTTAAAAAAAATCGACAGAACCTCCCCTGCACGGTGAGGTTTCCAAAACCTACAAAAAAATGGCACGATGGCCGACAAGCACATATGTCTCAAGGGAAGCCATGTAGTTTGGATATCAATCCATGCAGAAGAATATATCCAAGTAGTACCACTACCTCTACTACTACTTCCACTATTGCTACTACTACTACTACCACTAGTTCTACTACTACTACCACTATTGCTACTACTACTACCACTAGCACTACTACTACAACTATCACTACCACGACAACAACAAGAGAGGGCATACCTGACGGGCGCCGGGGGTAGGGACGGGCGGCGTCGTGGTCGGGGTCACCGGAGTCGGGAACGGGGTCGAGCACGGGCGGTGTCGGGGTGGGCGGTCCATAGGGCGCGACCGAGGGTAGGGCCGGCTCCTACTCCTCCTCCTCCTCCTCCTCCTCCTCCCCTCCTCCTCCTCCTCCTCCTCCTCCTCCCTCCTCCACCCTTGGTGTTGGCCAGGCTAGTGTGGCGTGGCGGCGCTTTCGGCCACCTGTGGCACGCAGGGGCGGGGCTGGGTGAAGTAGGGGTGGCCAGCCAGCCTTGGTCTGAGGAGGGGGCTACTACAGGTGGTGGTCTGTGGCGCGAGAAGGGGGTGGGCTACGGCACGCAGCGCAGGGAAGGGGGGCGGGCTGGGGGTATGCTCATTTGATCCATAACCAAGAAGAAAACCTTCATCAACTTTAGGTGCGAACTTAGAGGTTTGGGTTTCTTGTTAAGTATGAAACACTTACACCCAAACACTCTAAAGTAAGACACCTTGTGTAGGTAGAGTCGATTGATGGCATTGCAAGTAGTGTTGATGACGTCGCACCAAAATAGGTCCGACATCTTGTACTCATCTAGCATTGTCCTTGCCATATCAATGAGTGTACGATTCTTTCTCTCTACTATACCATTTTGTTGAGGGGCGTATGGAGTTGAAAACTCATGATTGATGCCCTCTTTATCAAGAAACTCCTCTACAAGAGTATTCTTGAATTCGGTCCTATTATCACTTCTTACTTTCTTGATAGAAAGACCAAACTCCTTTTGTACCCTTCTAACAAATAACTTCACCTTCCCATGAACCTGGCACTTGTCATACAAAAAGAATACTCAAGTAAAACGGGAATAATCATCAACAATAATAAGACCATATTTGTTACCCTCGAGACTTTGTTAGGCGATCGGTCCAAAGAGATCCATGTGAATAAGCTCCAATGGTTGCTTGGTAGTCATGATGCTCTTTGGTGGGTGAGGTACACCTACTTGCTTTCTGGCTTGACAAGCGCTACAAATCTTATCTTTCTCAAAGTGGACATTTGTTAATATAAGGTTGTGTTCATCTTTATGAAGTTTGGCCAAGTTCCTCATCCTAACATGGGCTAGTCGGCGATGCTAAAGCCAACCCATGCTAGATTTTGCCACTAAACAAGTCTCAAGCTTAGCTTTACTTTTGTTGAAATCAACTAGGTAAAGCTTATTTTTTAATCGACTCGTAAAGACAATAAAGGAATTCTCACTTCTAAAGACTTTCACACCCTTATTCGTAAAGAGACAATTGCAGCCC